ATCCTCGATTAGCCTACCAGGCTTGGTTTTAAAACAAAATTGTCACGAAAATGTCACGAAAGGTACATCCGCGTACTGTTTTGTTGCTATCAGCCGCTCGGCCGCGTATAAACCTAACATTTTCTTGCAAGGTGTTTAATTCCAGCTTTTTTCTTCGTAAAACAGATCCACAGTGTAATGGCGTGACCGCGTGCGTGACACGCCTAGTGATTAGTATGCATATTAGGTGTTATTAGTTTAGAACGTGAGCTTGTATCATAACGGACGTAGTAAAGGATTGTGAAAGACCTACGATGTAAGCTCGACATTAAATTGGCGACGAGGTAAAAGTGGAATGGCGGTAAACATTGGATACAAACAATTTCCCGAATTCGACGTTCGGAATGACCCCGAAACGGTATACGCGCGCTTCTCAAAATATGCTAAGCGGTTCAAGAACAACCACTTGAAAGCCTACAACATCACAGACAAGCACCAACAAAGATCATTGTTCCTAGATTCGATAGGCGAAGCCACACTAGATATATTCGAACAGCTTGACGATACGGGAACGGATTTGGACGGAGCTATCACCGCACTTCTGAACAAGTTCAAAGAATCGCAAAACCGGCTGTTCAATATACACAAATTTCGTTGCACTATACAGGGAAAAGATGAAACCTGGGACTCGTTCATCGCTAGGCTAAAAGCAGAGGGCGAACACTGTGATTTTCCGGCAGAATGGTTGGATACAGAGATATTAATGGCCATGATAACGAACGGCAAATCAAAGAGAGTGAGAAGAAAGCTTTTGCAAGACCAACTAACGCTAGCTGAAGCTCTCAAATACGCTCGTGGCCTTGAGAGTGCGGATCAACACGCTACAAGAGTAGAAAACCAAACGACGACCGAAGTGACTGTCAAGCAAGAAATCAATAAAACCACTGTTGACAGAGGTAGAGAAAAACTGTGTTTTAATTGCGGGAAACGTTGGCCACACCAGGGGGGGCAAAGAAAATGCCCGGCTTTTGGAAAACAGTGTACGCGATGTGGCAAGAGAAACCATTTTGCAAAGTGTTGCAAAAACAAGCAAGAAATTAAATTAGCACAAGGAGGCGAGCAAATATCTGACACATCGTCGGACAGCAGTGATGAAGAGTCCACGTGCACGCTGCAAGAGGTGAACCCCGTGGGACAGTCACACAATAGGCCCCTAAAAACAGTGCTAATTAGCGGAGTTGACATTACGGTACTACCGGACAGCGGTGCTACGGTCAACGCTATGGATGAGGCAACGTTCAAGAAATACGGCCTAGACAAAAGAGTAAAGGTTAGAAAGTCAAGATGCCAAATAAAACCATACGGGGCAGCGTCGAAAGCAAACACGCTGCCTGTTCTGGGTTGTTTTGAAGCACTGACGGAATCTAAGACAAAGATGAAAGTGATCACGTGGCAGCTAATAAAAGGAGACACCCGCACCGAACCTTTGCTCGGGTACAATGATGCGAGAGACCTCGGAATGATTCTTGTGACCAATTCAATTGCAACAGAAAGCAATCAGGCAGTAGGGACAGACAACCTGAATGAAGTGTTAGAGGAATACAAGGACCGGTTTCAAGGAATTGGAAAGCTAAAAGGAATCCAGGTCGATTTGAATGTAGACCCTGATTTTAAGCCGGTTGCACAGCCACCACGCCGGCAACCGTTCAGCGTACGTCAGAAGATGGAAGAAGAAATAAAGCATCTTATTGATCAAGACATCATTGAAAAAGTCAACGAACCTACAGGATGGGTGTCACCGCCTGTGGTTACGCCCAAGAAAGATCAGAGCCAGATACGTCTGAACGTGGACATGCGCGTGGCAAATCAGGCAATACCCCGCAGACACACCCAGCACCCCACAATAGACGACGTGGTCAACGAGCTGAGCGGGTCAACGGTGTTCTCCCACCTGGATATGAGCAAGGGATACCACCAACTTGAACTCAAAGAAAGTTCGCGGAACGTAACGACCTTTTCAACTCACATTGGCTTGTACAGGTATAAGAGGCTCAACTATGGTACAAGGTCAGCGGCAGAGATATTTCAAGAGACGATCAGAGAGGAATTGACGCACGACCTGAAGGGAGTTTTCAACATAAGTGATGACATCATTGTGCATGGGCGTGACAAAAAAGAACACGATGCAAACCTGGTAGCATTACTCGAGAGAAGCCGCGAAAAGAATGTCACATTCAACAGAGCAAAATGTGAATTCAGAAAAGATCGCGTGGTCTACTATGGCTTGATGTTCTCTAAAGATGGAGTATCTCCAGACCCATGCAAAGTGAAAGCCATTAAATCTGCAGGACGCCCTAGAAATGCAGCCGAACTTAACTCATTCCTCTGTACGGTCAGATATAGTTCACGATTCATGGAAGCCAGACAGTATCAGAAAGCGGCGTGCAAACTGGGTGAGCTAGTGACCGGAAAATTCGAATGGAAACCGGAACACTCAGAAGCATTCGAGGGACTTAAGAACATGCTCAGTAGCGACACAGTCCAAGCATACTTTGATCCCCAGGCGGAGCACGATCTTCATATTGATGGGTGCCCTGTGGGTTTGGCCGCGACACTTACGCAGAGGAAGCCTGGAGAACAATGTTGGAGAGTGGTGCAATATGCCAGTCGGAGCCTCACCGACCCGGAGGTACGGAGGTACGGCATTATGTAAACTATGTGGTAACGTGCAGCACGCCCAAAGCTGTCACCAGAGACCAGGTAAAGGACGCCACTGAGGAAGATCCGGCACTTCAAGCACTAAAGAAGTACATCAACCAAGGCTGGATAGACACAAACGATACAAGGACACACGAATTTCGGCAAGTTTTCCATGAACTAACCATAGTAGACGGGATTGTCTTGAGAGGGGATCGGATCGTTGTGCCCGCAAAACTCAGAGATAGAATGGTGGAAATTGCGCACGAGGGTCATCAGGGCCAGGTGCGAACAAAACAGCTTTTGAGAGCACATGTATGGTTTCCCGGAATGGACTCACAATGTGACAAGTTCGTGTCCACTTGCATCGCTTGCCAATCTAACACGCCGCAAACGCATCGCGAGCCACTCCGGATGACAGACCTACCGGAAGGACCGTGGGAGAAGGTCAGCGTGGATTTTTGCGGACCAATGGCGAGTGGTGACCTCGCCCTCGTATTTTACTGTCAATATGCCAGATACCCAGTGGTTGAATTCGTGGGGTCCACGAGCGAGAAAGCAACAATACCGACTTTCAAGAGGGTGTTCGACACATATGGAGTGCCAAAAGAAATCAAATCAGATAACGGACCGCCCTTCAACAGCCATAAATTCGAAGAATACGCAAAAGAGGAGGGGTTTAAGCACCGGAAAGTGACACCCGGGTGGGCAGAAGCCAACGGCGATGTAGAAAGGTTCATGCAGAGAGTAAAGAAGACCGCTCGGATCGCCTCTTTGGAAGGCAAACCCGTGAGGGATGAAGTGAACCGGGGAATCAGGGCATACAGAGCAACTGAGCATGCGACAACTGGAGTCAGCCCGAACAAGCTCATGTTCGGAAGGGAATTACGTGGAAAGTTCCCTGAAGTCAAGGGACAGCCTAAATACAGGGATGACACGATGATCCGCTGTCGGGACCGAGAACAAAAACAGAAGATGAAACTATATGCTGATAAAAGAAGACACACAGCCGTGATGAAAATTAAAGTCGGGGACACTGTGTTGTGCAAGCAGGAACGTAAAAACAGCCTGACCCCTCTGTATGACCCGGAGCCTATGGTAGTCATTGGCGTCAAGGGAAGCCTGGTCACTGCCAAGAACAGTGTTAGGATTCGCACCAGGAATTACGCCGATTGGAAACTGCTCAAAAATGGTTGTAGGGAATCACCGCGGTGTGATGATTCTGACAGCGGTGAGGCATTTGAACCGGATGAAGTTATAATTGAATGTCCAGAGCAATCCTTAGCAGGGCCGAGTGGGGATGCATTGCCAGCGGACAGACCCTTAGCAGGGCCAAGTGGAGATGCAGTTCCAGCGGACAGATCCAGTGAATCAAGGCAAGGTCATGAGCAGCCAAGAGCAAACAGCGACACAGCTGAGTACGAGAGTAGGCAGAGATCTCGGCAGCCCGGATCAGACCGTGACACAGAGCGAAGACATGTGCCCTTGGACAGGCCCAGAAGGAAAACAAGATCCACAAAGGACACTAAATATAAGGACTTTATTTGCGAATAGCGAGAATTTGCGTGTCTACTAGCTACATTAGAGCCTGTAAAGGACACAAGGGCTTACTCGTTATTAGCAACATTTAATTTATTTAGTTTATTTATTTATTTTTGTTTGCTGTTTTCGTTCGCACCGTTGCGTCCCATCCACGTGATGGGGGGAGAGATGTAATGGCGTGACCGCGTGCGTGACACGCCTAGTGATTAGTATGCATATTAGGTGTTATTAGTTTAGAACGTGAGCTTGTATCATAACGGACGTAGTAAAGGATTGTGAAAAACCTACGATGTAAGCTCGACATTAAACACAGAGCTCAAATTATTTAAAAAAATCGCAAGGGATACGCTTTCCCTGACTACGATAGTTTTTGTCCGCCATTTTAAAAATGAGATTCCGCTGACAATTGATCACGGGCGCGAAATGTCCACGATTTCTGGCAATGGTCACCAAATTCAAACTAGGAGACTATCGCTTCTTCCGAGTTTCTACTTTCATGTGGTATGACAGCACCTTAAAACCCTCTTCCAAAGAAATTTTCGGTTCAAAAGGTTTCTTCGTTTTGCGATACCGGACGATTGAATTTCCACTGGCTTTTGCGTGACGCGGCATTTAGCTGACAGCCAGGAAAGCTCATTTGTGGGTTGAAAACATTAGGACATTTTGCTACCGGAACATTCCTGTAAGATCCAAGTGTAACATTTTTCCTATTATTCGCTCTTGTGTAATTTGTTTTTCCTTTGCGTACGCAAATTAGTTTATACTTCTTTTTGTCCTTTTGTTTAGTCTTTTTTGCATTCGGCTAAAGACTTTCCTTCGAACGTTGAACACTTTGCACAGTCCTCATTTCTACTGCACATTCCATCTTCGCAATAAGGACAATTTTCACAGTAGGTCCCATCATACTTCTCTTTGCATTCACACTTGAAACAGTTCTCTGGATCTTGTTTACACTCGCCTCTTTCGGTACCTCCGCAAATTTCGGAATTTGCATCTTTCTGGCATTGTGTCTCTGGTGGGAAGTAAGTGCAGTTCTTTATGTTGCATACATCCCCATAATACTTGTCTTTACATATACATTTACGACAGCGACAAACTCCATGTTCGGGACCTCCACACAGTTTGCCTTGATCTTCAGGGCAAGAGAAGTCATTGCATTGACAAAACTCCCCATAAAATCGCCTTCCCTGCTCTGATCTACAAACACATTTTCCACAAACACATTCACCTCTGCCACTACAAGGGAGCTCATCTGAGGAGTTAGTCCTCTTGCATTTTGATAGATCTGTTTTCTCAAATGGTGTGTTACACTGGCAGAATTCTCCAAATCTTCCTTGGTTGCATTCACATATTCCACAACTCAATGTGCCATTTCCATTGCAAATTTTGCTGTTATTTTGCTTCATGCTAGGTTGTTCACACTGACATTCACATATAAAACTCAAATCCAACGTTACAGATCCAAACCCTGGCACTGAAATTTTGAGGCTTTTTTGCCTCTCAGCCTCTGATTCAGGACACTCATCTAACTTCACAGAGATATCAAAAGTAACCGTCTGCCCCAGTTTGACATTGGAACACTTCGGGCTCTGAATACTCACTGAACTACCTCCACACTTAGCTTTAACAGTAACTGACACTTTCTCTGGTGCTTTGTACTCAAGGCGGACTATAGACACAATTTCCTCATATTTACTTGCAATAAGAGAAACAACATTTCCAGAATTGTCATCAAGTTTTCCAGCCACAGCTCCCACATCACTCCACATAGTGCTCAAACTCTGATAAAGATCACTAACGAGTTCTGTCACTGCAAATACTGGTAGAATATTGCTATCCCGAAGTTTCTCATGAAGTTGTGCAAGGGAGGGATAATCCTGCTCATTAGATTTGTCATATTCTCCATTTGAATTAAGGTGGCATTCTCCATCATTTGGAGTGACAATACCCCCAAGCTTTCCATCTCCAGCAATGTGGAATGTTTCATCAGAAACAAAAACAACAAGCCGGCGTGAGGTTTCACGTGGACGCCAGCCAATTTTATTTTCACAGACTGTCACTTGCATTAAAGCATCAAATCCTCCTTCAGGTACATCAAGGTTACCAGAAATGTTCTGTTCCTTAACACTATCCTCAAATATCTTAGGATCTTTCACAAGTTTGAGAACATTCCTGAAGCCGTAGGCAGGGATACATTTCTCATTTTCGTCACATGGCTTTTTTGATTCAGTTCTGATGAATGGAGATACTGTCTTGTCCACAAAAGAACCAAATCCAAGTTGATAGTCTTTGGTGATGTTTTTCATGGCAATCACCACCTTTCATCGCTTGTATGTCCTGCAAGGGAAGAAGCTTTATTCCAAACGACTTGGCTACTTTCCTGAAAGTTTGACTCTTTCCGATCAGTATACCGACATCTGACTTCAGCAAAGCTAGCAAATCAGTTATTGAATCTCCAACAAACACTGAAACTCCATCAGATCTTTCAGTTATGTTTCCAATCAAGTCCTCAAAAATTCTCTCTTTGTCAAAAGCGCTTGAAAGAGTCTTGCCTAAATGGCCTGATGAAAGTACGCCTTCAAGAGGAAGGTTATTTCCAAAGATATTTAAATGTTTAAGGTGACCCAGCTTGGCATGAATCAGATCTTGACACCAGTTGACAGAAATGAGATACAGAGGCAAGTTGACATGGTTAAGAACATTCAAGCAGCCAGGATTAAGTTTTACTTCCTCTGCAGCTTCCTTGATACTCTCTTTGGAAATTCCTTGTAGAATCTTACTTCCCTCGATTTGCTTCATCATTGTCAAGTCATAGTCATACACCTTTTGCAGAAATGACCTCAGTTCTTTTTCATTATAAGCAGAAAAACTAGGAGAATCATTAACAGAAAGTGACCTTGAGACAACATCATGATGCCCACTCCAGTATTTTTTCCCTAATTCACTACAGAGAGCGTCAAGTTGTTTCCTTTCTGCTTCTGTGGAAGCGAGGTACTTGTCTGTTGCCTTGTACAGTAGACTTGTGGTGTCCTTTTGAGTACATGTGCCATCAAAATCAAAAGCAAACAAATTGACCTTCAGTCCCCTCCAATCTGAC